GGCACCCTACACCGTCTGTAGTGCAGTGTACTTTTTTTGTCAGCATGAATGAACGGTGCACGGCATGTACATGTACAATGTCATGTACATGATCAGGACCGTCACTGTCTTCAGCAGCTCATGAGTCATGCATGTGCACTTGTAAGTTGTAGTTGTAGGGTTAGTGGAAGTACATGACTGTATCCATGTATATTATGTGAAGAGAAGCCAGGCGTCCAAACCAACCCAGAATACTCTTGCCTTATTCTTCGGTGAAATAGTTATAAAAAATTGTCTTACCAAACAACAGTGAGCTTAGAAGAAACCTCGATGCACCCAATAATATGGCATCCCGGAACAGCAAGTGTTGCACGAGGATCCCAAGAACACGTCAAGTTCCATGCTACCCACCGCCATCAAAAGAACAAAGGATAACTGTGCTAGCCTAGTTCATATTCAATGTAACGCTAACGGTACGGGATATAGGAGCCTGTTGGGAAGGCGTGGGTGAGCTGTAAAATCTTGTACGGTTTGCACAGCACAACATACATGCAGCAGTTATTGCGACGGTTAATGTCGATGCAGCTAGGACGAGAGTCAAAGCACAGTCCATGGGGGTTGACGTTTCTGGGCTTCCTTTCCGAAAGGAAAGTTTTATTTCTTCTCAAATAAAGCAGAATCATGCTGATTATACCAGTCTGTTATGAAGACAAGAAAGTGGCCATGGACATTGTGCCCTTCTAAAGGAACGACAGGTAAAAGATAAAGCACTTCATCTGAAAACTCAAGGACTATCCATAAATACAGCAAATGATAATCCTAGCCTGGTAATGTCCAACTCCGTCATGTGAGCCATTCGGTGAGTTATCATGGGAAGCATAATGTTCGAAATGCTGAAATTTCAACAGTTGCAGTTGTGTTCGTCGCCACACGATGCCATCGCCAGTTCACATTCGAAATGTAGCCATTTTTACGCTTGTGTCCCTGTACACGGCATGGAAGGTTGAACAGATTCAACTCTTCCATCGCTTCCTGATCTGTACAGTAGTGCGGTTGCGTTCCCGTTCCTGACACTCACATCCGTCTCCGCTAACCAGCATCATGAGCACTCCAATGGTTCCCGCCGCTCCTTCCGTATCGTCCCAGCGCGCCCCGTCAAAATGTGAACTACTGTAGGCAACGGAGCCAGTGTATGATGAAGGTGAATGCAGTGTATGATGATGCTCCAACAAATCCTTTCACCGTTGTATGGAATTTGTAAGAAGAGTAGTGGCTCAACTGTAGGTCCAACGCAGAAGGTACCTCGCAGCGCAGTTCTGTTACGTCCACAATAATGAACACACTCAGCAGACAGTGACGTGTATCAGACACACTCTGGCATTATTTGTTCCACCTTCTCCCAGGAGGAGATAAAATGTAGTTCAATCATGTCTTCAGTACATGGCCGGGGTACCGTTGCCTCGTTGCAACTAAACAGGTATGCAAGTTACTTTCCTATGAGACCCAGCCGGAGCCGCATCGTCGTCATTACCAGCTAATCATGGAGAGGTATAATGTGACTTTCCACCACTCCCTGATTCAATCATAGTTTGCGAGCCTGCGCCAAAATGCTTTCTCACTAGAGCCAGCCATTGGGTACATATGGCTTCAGTAAAGTTTACAATGCTATGTCTCCGGCCTAAGTCCAAGTCTAGATACAGCTGCTCAGAGTCAGGGTTGATGAAATGTTCATATCGGAACAAGTGAGACTTCAACAGTAGCTAGTACACATCAGGCCTGAGGACTTCGCAGCGTTTCTCCAGCACACTTGTTCTCTCCTTCAACTCAGATACTACTTGAAGTACTACTAAAGGCCATCTGGCTCTCACACTCAGTCCTTCCACCCTTCATTTCCGTGGTTTGGGCTTCCACTCGTGACTCGGCAGGTTCCTGGCCTCTCCGCAGTCTGTCCTCCGGAGAGAGTCGCTCTGGAGCTAGTGCAGCCGAATCAAAGGGAATCGAGTTCTTTCTCAGACGTCCACAAACTTTCGTTGTGCTTGACTTCGCTTCCACTGCGGGAAAGTAGTCACACTTCAGGACCACGACGTTCTTGTTGCAGCCTACACCAATGATACTAAAATAATATTCCGCCTCATTTTTCTGCCTCCCGGCCGGCCGGCTCGGAAAGGAACGTATGGAATGGGAGCCTCAGTTCCATCTCTCGTCTGCTAGTGCATTCAGGAGCGCAGCAGCGCTTCGGCATGACGATACAAGCCGAATCAAAACAACTCTACTCTCTAGCCAAAAAAACTAGCCGAGTGTTCGTCAGGCAAAAAGCGAAAGTCACGAACTCAAAAGGTGGGGAAGTCGGAGTCAGAAGGTCCACTTGCCCCGTCTCGAACCCAGACAATCTTTGTGCAAGTCATCTATGCAGCCAGGCTAGATCTTTTTTTCCGTATTTTACTACAACTGTGAAACCACCAGTACTTTATAACAACATTTTTGTTCTTAAAATGCCAGTTGCAATGAAAAATCAGGTATGTTTTCATCTACAGTACAACAAATTCGACCCTTAGAATTTCACGGCCCCATGCCCTACCTGCAGAGAGACTTGATGTTCCGTCCGCTGATGCTGGAGAGGACATCCAACAGCGACTTCCTGGCGTTTTTGTCCTTCCTTGTGGACGTACTCCCCCACTGGTAGTGGAAGGGGTTTCCACACTGGTAGGCCCCAGGAGTGGCACGACGCGAGGAACGTCTGGCCTGCACGTCATGCTTCCGCGACGACATGATCAGTGGTCTGGTGGCACTGGACGAAGAGCTCCAAACGTAGACTGGTCAACAGACTGGCGATCACCAAACTAAAAAAGACGAAGTCTGTGCCCTATTTCTAGTATTTGGGCAAGCAAAACCTCTCAACGAAAATAAACTACACATGGAATCCACAATTTTTTTCAGGGGAATGCATGAAAAGGCCATTGCCAACACGTGGCTGTACATGTGTACGCCTGCATTTGTCGCATGTGGTCTGCATTCGTGCATTTCTCCACCCGAATCAGCCCGAATCCACCATTCCTCCTTCTCTGCATCAAAACAGCAGAAACAGATCAAGTGAATTTTGAAACGCTCAAATGACGCGTACGCAGTACTGAATTTCTATAGCAACCACCGCCAACAGTCACCTGTCCTAACTAGGCGATGATCTCTGAGACCTGATTACGTGGGAGGACATCTTGGATCTGATCACCATAGAAACGAACTCGCGTGACCGCTAAGCGCAGGCGTAGAACGCAGTCGCGCAAGGAGATTTTGACTTGCTTGGGCTTAGTTGCTGTGTCAAGGACTGAGTCGTGAATGGTGAAGGAGATGGCCGGAGACTGTCTCACTATCTCTATTTCATTTCGGTAGTTCTTGTTTCCTTCCAAGTGGATTATTTCGCGAGCAGTGTTGGCCTCATTGGCCGAAGGCTTCATTCAGACTGTCCGCACACGGAGTCCTGCGAAAGGTAGCCCCGAGCAGAATCCTGCAGTCGTTGATGAAAGAGTTCAACATCTACAGCCAGGCAGCTACGCCGCTGATGCACAGGCGCGGGTGACGGGAGAGGGAAAGGACAAGCATTCCTTGACGGCATGGAGCAATGACTCACGTCGTGTTCTAGTTTTAGTTTCTCCGCCGTGAAGTCCTGTTGTGTAAACGTAAATGTACGGCTGGTCTGCGAAGAGCCGTGTAGCCGTTTCGTTGCAAGAGAACAAGTCCAATGGCTTCGCCGTTGTGCTGTCCATGCATTTCTTCGGTCTGCCATAACCATGATAACTCCTGGAGGACACAGCGATGAAGCGCCAGGCGAGTAGCAAAAGCATTTAAAAAAATTGCTTTGCTGCTAGTTTTGTTTCCGCAATCACAACAGGTGCAGCGCGCGGTTCTTCCTCGCGGCTGCACTGCAGATAGGGTTGCCTTTGAAATGTTGGTTTGTACCCGTCTCTGGACCGATTTTGATGGCCAATAGCTTAATTCAGTTGGAAAATTAGAAGAACTTCTCGGAGAGACTTATTATTTTAAGTACAATAATCCAAATCAGATTTACGCCTGCACGAACTGATACTTTGGCTCCATATGTACTCCAAACTGTATCGATTAAAACAAAAAAACTCTCAGACAAATCTTTACAATGGGTATTGAGAGTATGTTCCTTGAGTTTCAGAGGCCTAGGCAAAAGCATTGGTACAAATGAATATTTTGAATGCACCCCACTTTCAAGTTTTCAGAGATATCTGCCTGATTGCATGTACACGATTCTGGCATGCTGGCTGGCTCGTGTGACAGCGGCCTGTCCAAAATGGCGCCCACGCTTTTGTGTGATGATGTGAGCCTTGAAGTTGTCAAAAAGTTCAAGCGTATTTGTGTTTCGCTCTTTGGCGCTGCATGAATCCAAGTCGAGCTATATCAAACGAAACATCACTGGAAAGCTTATGTTCCCAGCTTTTCAACGAGCTATCATTTGCGTTGAGCGGAGAAAGGACACCAGAGCTACGATAATATGAACCCTGGTGTATAAGCACTGTATAAAGTGATGAGCTGCAGATCTAGCCAACTCAAGGTTGGAGACCAGTTTGAGAACCAAACAAATTTGTTCTCCACTATCTCCCCAGAATGCGCAAACAACCTACAGATTTTGCTGGCAGTCTGGAATTTTGAGATTGCGCAAAATCTGCAGATTGCGTAAAATCCCAGAATGCGCGGAACAGAAATATTCACTGGTTTGAGAGAAAGATGCAAACAGGAAAATGAATTGACTGGCATTGACTGGCACCACTAGGACTCCTACTATGGACCTTTGCTTATGGCCAGCGATGCTCTCACCACCAAGCTATGGTGTAGCTGTCATCCCAACAGAGACAATTCAACATTTTCTTCAGACTTCCGGAAAGTTGGAAACAATAGCCTTTCTGGTTGAGGTGATTATATTCTTGTGTCTATGTATGCTTTCACTCATACATCTTTCTCAATGTTTCTGGATGGGCTCATTTGATAAAACTCAATAGCTTTTGCTGCTTATTGCACAAGTACAATCAATGTAAAAAATGGAGTGTTTATTCCGAACTATACACACATTGGAGCGGAGGCAAATGTTACATGTAATAATGGCTACCGTCTATCGAAGGCTTCAAGAATGATGTGCCAGAAGCAAAATGGTACGGATGGTTTGTGGACTGATCTACCAAGCTGCAATCGTGAGTGAAATTTTCTTTTCTCCGTGTTTAGACCAGTAGACCTACTCTTATCCTGACCTGTTCTGCCCTGGTGTATTCCGCATTACGACCCTGTATATCAACAGTCCACAACTCGGCCCTCAAGATCATTGGGCATGGTTTGAATCCGTGGGGAGCATCGGTGGTTGATCGCAGAAAAGTTTTGTACATTGCTTAATATGCGATTATCAGTTCTCTCCATCTTAGGGGTCGTCCGCAATTATCGAAAGTTTTTTCCAATCAGTAGTAGCTTCGAAAGTGGGTGGGTGGGTCAAGGCCAGTTACGGATTGAAAAACTTCCAAAATGACACGTGCGCGTGCCACGTGTACGTCTACGTCTAGCCCCTGTTTTCCACGCGCGGCTGCGCGCGAACTGTCTACTACAAATATTTTTGTAGTTCTGGCAGTTTCTGCGCCCCCGCGCGCTTCCTTGGCTGCTCCTGGGCCGGGGATCATAAAGTTCGGCGCATTCGACGGCGAGTCGACACTTTCTATTTTTGAGTTTCACTGTCTTCTTCGTCCAGAGTACCGTCTTCCATGCACTCCTTTGAAGTCCTTCCGTCTAGCGCTGGCGCTGACGACTGTGATTGACTATGTCCAGACAGGCGACGTTGTTTGGAAAGGCGGTGAAGAAGCAGCCCTTTTTCAAAACCGCTGGTGACTCTGATTATTACAGAACAATAAATTGCTTGTGGCAGTTGTCCAAGACGACGAACAAGGATGGACCAGCACTGATTGAGTTTGTTCCATATGTGTTGGGTTGTGTGTCCATCAATGATATTTTATTACGGACTGGGGGGGGGGGCGGGGATGGGTGGGTGAGTAAAAATTTGAAACTACTACGGATTGGAAAAAACTTTCGATAATTGCGGACGACCCCTTACTAATAGATGATATGCCAAATAACATGCAACTAGACTTGGGAGGGCATTGCAAAGTAGTTGCATACACAGTTCAAAGTTGTACGGTTACCTGTGACTTGTCTTCCTGCAGTGGTCCATGCCTACTGTGCACACATTGTAGTAGGGAGGTTTAGTTCCCACGTAACGGAAACGCGTACGTGGGTGATCCACGTAAAGTGGATGAAGGGCACCCACGTTGCAATGTTGTGTTTAGTCACACGGAACAAACAAAAGCATGAAGCTAAAGGCCAAAACCTGGTCAAAAACGGAGCTACCCCGGCCTAAGAAGCTCATCCAATATTTTGATTTCGTGCTTCGGAAACTTCTTCAGCTGAGCACCCTCACAGCTCGCACAATGCGCTCCATTCTGATTTTCACCCACGTTCTGGTGGAACGTGGGTGAGCCTCCATACACGGTATGTCGTGAATCAGAATACGTCTGTACGTGGGTCACTGAGTATCACGTGGTACACCCACGTAAAGTACCCACGGATTACGTGGGACTAAACCTCCCTAGTATAATGTGTATGCAACTTGTGTGCAATGCCCTCTCAAGTCTAGTTGCACGTTATTTGCCATATCATCTATTCAACGGTGGACTGCCTTTACTCTTGTTATGTCCTATTTCAATCTCAAATTCTCCCCATTATTGTTTGTAAAGCCGGTGCTACCCTCTTGGATGCACTTGTTCTTTTCTCCTATGTATCGGCGCACAGGAGTAAAGATGATTCCAAGACCTTTGGTCGGAGGAGTTACTTTTGCCCCGCCCCCACTTTATCCAATACGCCACCGCCCCTGCTGTGGAGCATCTGATGGTTCTGTGGTATTCAGTAAAAAGAAAAAGAAAAAAAGGATATTATGCACTGCTTGAGGAGTGAAATGTGCATGCGGTGTAATTTCTGTGTGCCGTGGACGAAACATTTTTACTGTTGCATTACTCAGAAAAAAACACCACACTTGAAAGTCCATAACTTTGCCATACATTCTTCAAAATTCATGGTATTGAGCATACTGGAAAGCTTCTTAAACCCTTTCAGGGCCACTACTGATTCCACGTATGCCTCAGCCCCTGTACTCAGCTGCAATTTTTTTAAATTTCACTCACCAGTGGCTGAATTTCGTCATCTGTGTCTCATCAGCAAGCTACAGATATCCTCGCTCCAAATCATTCAATTAGATGTCCCACAGAAGCAATGAAATCACCGTCATGCCACTTTAGAGCTGCCCTATTACGCCTGAGTGAGATACTGTGCCCACCCCGACAATTCTCTTCGGTCCTGTAGTTTGACTCAACACAGAACAACGATTTGAAGTTCTCCAGATTCATGAAGTTCCAGGAAATCCTTTGGGCTCTACTTTGCATGCGCCGTGCGGCAATGACTGATAGGGGAAGTCCCCATTTGAAAAATACTGATATGCACAAGTCATTCATGCACTATGAAGTATGATCATGTCCCGGAGACCAGCATCTGTATAAAGTGATGAGCTGCAGAACTAGCCAACTCAAGGTTGGAGACCAGTTTTAGAACCAAACAAATTTGTACTCAAGTATCACCACAGAATACGCAAACAACCTGCAGATTGTGCAGGCAGTTTGGAATTTTCAGATTGCACATAATCCCAGAAAGCCGGGAACAGAAATATTCACTGGTTTGAGGGAAAGATGCAAAGAGGAAAATGAATTGACTGGCACCACTAGGACTCCACCTATGGACCTTTGCTTATGGCCAGCGATGCTCTCATCACCAAGCTATGGTGTAGCTGTCATTCCAACGGAGACAATTTTCTTCAGAATTCCGGAAACAATAGCCGTTCTGGTTTAGGTGTTTATATTTCTGTGTGTCTGTGTGCTTTCACTCATACATTTTTCTCAATGTTTCTGGATGGACTCATTTCATAAAACTCAATAGCTTTCGCTGGTTATTGCACAAGTACGATCAATGTAAACAATGGAGTGTTTATTGCGAATAATACACACATTGGAGCGGAGGCAAATGTTACATGTAATCACGGCTACCGTCTATCGAAGGATTCAAAAATGATGTGCCGGAAACAAAATGGTACGGATGGTTTGTGGACTGATCTACCAAGCTGCAATCGTGAGTGAAATTTTCTTTTCTCCGTGTTTAGACCCGTAGACCTACTCTTATTCTGACCTGTTCGGCCCTGGTTTATTTCGCATTACGACCCTGTATACCAACAGTCCACAACTCGGCCCTCAAGATCATGGGGAATGTTTTGAGTCCGTGGGGAGCATGGGTGGTTGGTCGCAAAAAAGCTTTGTACCTGGGTATTATGCACTGCTTGAGGAGTGAAATTTGCATGCGGTGTAATTTCTGTGTGACGTGGAAGAAATTTCACATTCTTTTACTGTTGCATTATTCAGAAAAAAACACCACACTTGAAAGTCCATAACTTTGCCATACATTCTTCAAAATTCACAGTATTGAGCATACTGGAAAGCTTCTTTAACCTTTTCAGGGCCACCACTGATTCCACATATGCCTCAGCCCCACTACGCAGCTGCAAAATTTTATGATTTCACTCACCAGTGGCAGAAATTCGTCATATGTGTCTCATGAGCAAGCTACAGATATCCTCTCTCCAACTTATTCAATTAGATGTCCAGCAGGAGCAGTAGAATCACATTCATGCCATTTGAGAACTGCCCCATTGCGCCTGAGTGAGATATTGTGCCCACCTCGAAATTTTTCTCTGGTCCTGTAGTTTTACTCAACACAGAACAAAGATTTAAAGTTCTCCCGATTCGTGAAGTTCCAGGGTATCCATTAGGCTCCACTTCGCATGCGCCATGCGCCAATGACCCATAGGGGAAGTCCCCCTCGAGAGATACTGATAGATGCCGGTCACTTGCTGTGCATGCAATTGGTCAAAACGTTCAAGCATAATACCGTGTTTCGCTCTTCGGCGCTCCATGAATCCACTTCGAGCTATATCAAACGACACATCACTGGAAAAAAAATTTCAGCCGTGGTCGGAGAAAGGACACCAGAGCTATGATAATATGAACCCTGGTGTATAAGCGCTGTATTAAGTGATGAGCTGCAGAACTAGCCAACTCAAGGTTGGAGACCAGTTTTAGAACAAAACAAATTTTCCTCAAGTTGTAGCGCGGTTGTACAAGTCAATGAAGCTTGGCTTTCAGTCGACTTTCCACTCTCCCAAGTCAAATTTAGCTCAATAGTCAACTGTTTGTATTGCACTGAGGTTGCAAAAGGGGCAGAAAAAGGGCAGAAAATCAATATTTGAAAACGGTTATATTCGTCTTTAGAAATACACCTACACCTTAAACAACGGATATTTTTGTCCTTCGTCCTGTGTGAAATCAAACGTCCACGCACTGCGGAAACGGTCTTTGTGCACCGATCAATATGCTTGTCCGTCACAAGCCATCAAGCTGTCAAGCGCCATATCTCAATGATTGTTGCTTCCATAGATTATTGCAACCACTTGCGAACATTTTCTTTTTCTACATATCTCGATTGTGAGGTTCACGTAAGAATTGGCAATATCACGATCATGTGAACATCCGCACCTCATGCCAATTCTCATCGACGTGCAATGTACAATCCTCCTGATGTAATAGTACAGGCTCAGAGCCTCAGCTAGAATCCCATGGTAGCACAGGATCAGAATGGAAGGGGTAATGAATAAAGCCAGCAAAATGCGCTGGATTAGTGTAATAGATTCTTGGTCGGAGGAAAGCAAACCAGCACATGAAGCACAGAAGCCATATCGCTTCGACTAGTCCTTTCGTACCATTACTTTTCAAGTCAAATACAACAAGATTAACAAGTCTTTATAACTTTCACTTTGGCGGTCAGAGCATTCGTAAAAGTGAAGCACTTCAAAAGATAGCGCTAGTGGCACCAACTACATATTTGGTGGTCAAAGTATTGACGAAAGAGCCATTCTAAAGGTAGCGCTAGTGGTGCCAAGTACACAGTGGTACAATGAATATTACTAGTATCAAACATTAGTGGGGACCACAGTACTACAATGTCAAAACAGTGACAACTTTCTGCACACGCAGTTCAGGCTTCAGCTTGGCAATGTGCACTGCCTCCTGCACAGCAAGGTGAGATTTGTTGTGCGCACGCGCATGAATTCTAAAGTGAGAATGGGTGCAAGGTTTGCAGACTGCACTTAGGCAGGTGGGTGACAATCTCAGGTGGCGGAGTATCACCGAGTGCTTCTAATTATTGTCAGTGTCGGTGGTCCATTCGTTCGGTTGCTTCTCTGCCAGGCGAGGGGTCATACACGGTTCCTATCTTTTTAATGACCGTTGTATTCGACTTGAAAGGTAATCGTACGAAAGGTCTAGTGGAAACTTTATGACTTCTGTGCTTCATGTGTTGATTAGTGTAATCATCATATTGCATTGCTCACCTCCCTGGGGTTTTCTGTGTATTTCCTTTGGTAACTTGATGGATGCCATACATTTGCCAATACCTGATAGGTATCTCTACATATTGTTCGAGCACGATCAATGTAAGAAATGGAGTTTTCCATGTCTCCGATACTCACATTGGAGCTGAGGCAAATGGTACATGTAATCAAGGTTACCTCCCATCGAATAATTCAACAATAACATGCCAGCCACGCAATGATAGCCATGGTGTGTGGAATAACCTTCTAAGCTGCAACCGTAAGTGACGCAATATCCTTTGGCTTATATAATTATTTGTATTGTTGAACTGGTCTTATCCGGACCTCTCCTACCCAGTCATCTCCTTTAGTCGAAGTGTTGTGTCATGAACTGACATAAGGAGTCTATACATGGCGACAGACAGGGGAAGGACTATGTCGTGAATGCGTGAAAGGATAACATCATACAGTATAGGACTTCTCCCCCTTTTAAAGTGGAAGAAAAACTGTTATGGAGCAAAGGCAAGACAGATACATGTACGGGTTGTACATAGCCAAGTACATAGAACAGAACTATGCAATGTGCCCGCGAGAGCATTAGCGATAGCATGAAGCCAGAGAGAGAGAGAGAGAGAGAAAGAGAGAGAGAAAGAGAGAGTTACATGGTAGTGATTAGTCTCTGCGCTGGCAGAATGTTGTTGCAAGCACGTAGAATTGGCTGTGACGTAGACACGGTTTATTTTTCATTTTTACAAAGACCACTTAAATGCCAAAACATGAGATGCAGCTAAGGGAAGCACGCACAACCTGAATTGTGGCAGTGGTGGTGAGGTTTAGGGAGCTCCGCCGACCTAGGGTCTCGACTTTATAGCCACCTAGACGCACCAAGAGTGGGTGGGGAGGGAGAGCGAGAGAGAGAGAGAGAGAGAGAGAGAGAGAGAGAGAGAGAGAGAGAGAGAGAGAGAGAGAGAGAGAGAGAGAGAGAGAGAGAGAGAGAGAGAGAGAGAGAGAGAGAGAGAGAGAGAGAGAGAGGTTGGCGTGGGACTAGCATCGACGGTGGTACTGCTGACACTGGTACGGGAGGAGTCACTGGCTGGAGCAACTTCACTGCAAGACGGTTTCGGCGCAGAACACTGGATGAGGTGGCTATGCTGTAGGAGCAATCGGTGAGTTGCTCAACAATTTAACCCTCGCACTTGTCGTCGTCCCACACTTTTGCTCCCAGTGGCAAAAGGGAGAGCGACTTGGCTGCGAACCATTGATCGAAGTGATATTTCTGGCCATGCTTAGCCTCCTGCTCCTTGGCCCGTAGAGCAGAGATGTCTGGCCAGGATGGTTGCAGGAGATCAGGTTGGCACGGAAGATTGGTGTGGAGCCTACGGCCGTACAAGACTTCGGCCGGCGAATAGCCGTTGGTCAGGGGTGTAGAGAGATAGCGGTTGGCCAGGGGTGTAGAGTGATAGATACTGGCCAGGGGTGCAGAGCGATAGCTGTTGGCCAGGGGTGCAGAGCGATAGCCATTGGCCAGGGGTGTAGAGCGATAGCCGTTTGCCAGGGGTGTAGAGCGATAGCCATTGGCCAGGGGTGTAGAGCGATAGCCGTTTGCCAGGGGTGTAAAGCGATAGCCGTTTGCCAGGGGTGTAGAGCGATAGCCGTTTGCCAGGGGTGTAGATTGATAGCCGTTTGCCAGGGGTGTAGAGCAATAGCCATTGGCCAGGGTGTAGAGCGATAGCCGTTGGTCAGGAGGTGTAGAGCGATAGCCATTTGCCAGGAGCGTAGAGCGAAGGCCGTTGGACAGCGATGTAGAGCGATAGCCGTTTCTCCAGTGGTATAGAGTGATACGCTAAGAGAGACTGCTGTAGATCACCCGGCGCACGGATGAGGTGTTTGGCAGTTTGCAGAGCGTGTTCTCCTTCGCCGTTGCTCTGAGGATGCTTCGGGCTGCTTGTCTGATGCGTGATGTTGCATGACGATATGAACTGGGCAAAGGCGTCGGAAGCAAACTGCGGCCTGTCGCCAGGCGAATTTTCTTTGCTTGCCTAGAGCTAGCTGGCCTCCACACTCCATCAGATTCTAGCAAAAGGTCCACTGACTAGCTGGTGGTGGTATCATCCCGGGATCAGCTCCGCAAACAAAAGACTCCAAGGCAGCAAACTGTTGTAGTTGTAAGTTTCACTGCTCTTCCCTGTGAAGTACTAAGTGGTTGAGTGCTGATGCACAGGTCAGTATATCCTGCACAGATACAAGTACTAGTAATACTCAGACTGCGTACTGGAAATGTTAAGACTTTCTTCAGGGAAAGTCACGTGAGTTCGACATAGTCTTAAAAATGTCACATTAGTTCGACGTAGTCATAAAAATGTAACTATAATAATATAGATCATGAGTCTGACTCCCTACTGGACTTCCGACTGTTTACAGGACGACTGCCTACTGAGTCCAACATATTATACCCAATATGTAGGTTTGCAACAGGCAAACCAAAGTTATCATGGCACAGAAGCCTCGCGGCCAGCGCCTCGCAGGCAGTCCGCAACGCCGGCTGTCATCATACATTGCTGGCAAAGAACAGCAGCGAGACCTTTCTATGCAAACAAATTTGTTTGAGCACCTTGGCTTGCAATATCAGCAGTGCTGTGCGAATTTTCTGCAGCGTTGTGCAACTAGTGTCTACCGGCATGCAATCAGCAATGTTGTCTGCGAATTTTCTGCGGCGTTGTGCGACTAGTGTCTACTGCTAGCCTACCATGAGTCGTTTTCAAACAGCAGCAACAGGAGATCCGCGAGCTAATCCACTGCGTGCAACTTGCGGAACATTTGTTCCCACACAATTTCCTTCCCACCCTCCCAACCGCTACCTCAACTCACCTTTCTGGCGCACACATGACGTTGTATTTCTCGCTCAACATGTTTCGGTTGCATATATGGCATCGGGCGTGTTCTTTATCTCTTGCCAATATGTGCTTGCCATGCCTACATGATGCCAAATCGCCATTGGAGTTATACACCCGGTTTTTTTCCCTCACTACTGCGTCCGTCGGTGCAAGGGTTTTTCCCTGCTGGCTTGGTCCAGGAAAATTAATCTGACAGTCCCAAGTGGTTCTGCATCATGGCCTATTTCTGCTATCCGCATGCACATCTTTCCCATTTGAGACATTCTCTGTTCTCAGTGCTTGCTTTCATGCCTCACTCGTGATTCGGTTCGCATCTGGCTGCGGCCAACTACCCTTCAATTTGTGTTCTGTTGCTATGCTGTATAATCTGTGTGTACCAGTATATATGGCGCGAGAATGTAGTCTTACAATCAATGAGAATATAATAATTATGCTCTCAACTGTCATGCATACCTTTATATTTAGCATTAGGTGGCTCTACTCAGAGTCATTGGCGGCTCCATCCAGAGACATTTGCCGGCTCCATGCGGAGTCACTTGCTGGCTCCATGCGGAGTCATTTGCCGGCTCCATGCGGAGTATTTTGCCGGCTCCGTGTGGAGTCATTTGCTGGCTCCCTGCTGAGTCATTTGCCGGCTCAGTTGTGAGCCATCTAGCGATCCCGAGCAGAGCTAATCATACTAGTTGCTCAAATCGGCGCTCCTATGGAATGGCATTGCCCTTCTCAGAGACATCAGTTGGTCCAAGTCCCCCAGGCTTCAACTCTTCACTGACACGCCTGGCATCGGTTTCGGCGGGCTTTACCACGCAGCGCGGTTCTACCGCACATGGTCAACACACCAGTCGGATGGCCCATTTCGCAGCATTATCTGACAGGAACTCTACACAATTATTGCCATTGCGCCCGCTTTATGGGGAGAACAATGGGCGCATCATGCTGCCCAACGCCAACAGACTACTTCAATAGCGCACATCATCTCTGTCAAACACTACTAATCAAGGCCGGCGACCTAATTTGGAAGTCAGTAGCCCCAAGTTCTGCCCGCACATACCTGCCAGGGACTAGGGCGTATCTGAAGCTGTGTACACAACTGGGATGCCAGCCGAGTAGGCCGTCGGTTAATGACTTGCTGGCATTCATCACCCACTGCGTATCCCGTCACAGATCTAGCACAAGCAGCACCGACAAAATGTCAACGCCAGGCTATCACCCAATCAGACCTGCAGCAACTCTTGACCGTGATCCTGCGCTCTCTCTACTGCGAATCGGACAGATGCATGCTAACGGCCGCCTTCATGACAGCCTTTGCTCAGAGTGAGCGAGGATACTGCCGCCTCTCCCCGCTCCGCTTCGAATGGCCGCACTCTGACCTTGGGTCAAGTCTCACTCACTGGGACTCAGATCAACATACGACTCGAGATAGCGACGATCTCCCAACGTGGCACTGGGGGCCAAGTCATCTAGCAGCCATTGTCCGGCAGCCAGCTCTGCGCTGTCCAAGCAATGCGCAAGTACCTCGCTATCCGCCACGTAACGCAAACGACGCCACCGCTGTTCATATTCGGAAGTGGGCAATATCTCACAGCCAAGGATGCGAACTACTGGATGACGAGAGCCCTAGGTTCGGGTGTTAGCAGTCACTCCCTCAGGATAGGCAGGGCTACTGCAATGGTCGGAAGGAATGCCTCAACTTGGCAGCTCCAGAAGGCCGGCCGCTGGGCTAGTGAAACGTACAAAACGTACCTCCATGTGCCGGCTGGCCTGCCTCTTGGCCAGCAATGAGCCGGCTACGCTGCCATGTTTACATTCGCGTGCTGCTGGGCACTGTGTTTGTATCAATCCTGCCCAAAATACTCTAAGCACTCTGCACCCCCTTATGTAGGAATATGACCTTCCCAGCTTGCCCGATTAAGGATCTCTGCTCCAGCCTGGACCACATACTCAAACTCTTTAACACATTGTGTTGCGTACTGTCACTGCTCAGCTTATCTGCATGCGTGTAGCGCAGCGTTTGCTCAACCGCTGAAAGAAAGCAAGAAAAGAAATATGGCTAAGACAGTGTGTATATGAGGGGTTGCCACTAACCACTGACTCTTCTTGGGGAAGCCCCTCAGCTGATTGCATCTTGGAACAATTCTCTGCATGAGCTTTCAAGCACTGGCTGCCCAGCAGCAAGACCACATGGTCCCAGCAGGATCAGCTGGTCCCAGCATAGACACAATGTGTCCAGCAGCCGGGCCAATTGGCACCAGCATACAGCAGGACCGTCCGGCCCAGCAGTCATTTGACTACCTGCGTACAGCCGTGCCTCACAAGGGCACAGCAGCATTAGTTAGGATCATTGGCCTTAATCTCTTGCACTGCCTGCCATCTACCAGCATTGTAACAGAATGTTCTACAATCCCGCTTTGCGGGGCGGCCTGGTATAAATGCATTGTTGCAAACAATTCGCAGATTACAAATTCTGCAAAACACTTGATATGATCCAGCCGCAGCAGCTCGGCAACCCCAACTTCAACTTGCTTCATGTGCATGTGGGTGATAAACCCAGAAATCTATCTTTCTCTCTCTCTCTCTCTCTCTGCTCTCGCCCTCTCCCTTGCTCCGTTGTTTTTTGGTTGTTTTATTCTTGTATAAAATATAGAAAGGGAACCTGGGATGGATGCCACTCAAACTTTGTTCTCATTTTCCTGGTTTTGTTCTTCTATGTCTCTTGTGTCCACAGAAAAAGTAGCTGCCAATACTGGTGCTGTCATTGGGGGCATTTTTGGCGGCTTAGCAGGTATTATGGTGATCCTTTCACTTTTGCTGTGCAAACAATCAAACAGGAACCAGATCTTTAGAGTGATCCAAAAACATCTTGAGCTGGGAGCGCGGCCCACAACTGGCACCGTTATGGAGGACTTCAGTGGAAGTGACAATATTGATAAACGTGGGAGCACTGCAACATTGCTTACCGGTATTGATCCATCTAAGGTGGCGACCATGGCAACAAGCTGTGAGAGCACGACCAAAGAGGTCTAGTATGGTGACACGACACTGTGGCTGTGGAAAAGGACATTGATTAGCTGTACACTGGTTGTACACTGGTACACTGCCAAAACTCTCCCCGAGCTGAAGATAGTCACTATGACCCAGTATGATGTGAGCACACCACATTGCCAGTGTTTGAGAAGGAAATGGATTGATACAATTATCATGATGGTGTCTACAACTGGAAGCATCAACATCATTGCTATCTCTGCAGCTCGCACAGCCTGATGAAAATCAACACGATAGTTATTGGTGGTTCAAATTTGCTAAGTCAGTATTTCATCAATGTTTCCATGTAGATTGTTCATTTCGTGTTTTCTTTCCATTTCTTCATTTGAAGGTATTCCGACTTTGCATGTCTTTTTCTCCTCTCAATTTATCACTTTCCTGCAAGTGCGATCTACTCGTAGATTTTTGGTTAGGTGATTTTCTGTGAGCAACTCCATTAGGCAATGTCTGTTTACTGTGGTCGTGTTTACTGCTCCTAATCACCAGCATTGTTCAGTATGGCTCATATGATGCGATTGGGCTTCGGTATTATCGACCTTTTGATTTCCCAGTGTCAGCATACGGTTTATTATTATTCTGAGACCTGTGGTCGGGTAATTTTCTGCAGGAACTCCATGTTCAGCCTTTTCCTGTACAAATGCATGAATTGTGTGCAGCTTGCAAGAGTACCGTTGAAAGCTCCTGCTACACAGTGGTGAGCAAGGTGCACTCGTGTTTCCTACACAGTCATCCATGCGGTGATTAGGCAAGTATGACCTATGCCAATGATTCATGCACGGGGGGGGGGGAGGGGATTAGCAAGTTCTTGTGGACAGACTGGCGTTGGTTGGGTTTCGGTCACGTGAGAGCCTCCAGTTTAGCGGCCATCCCGGCAATGCTCTTCGAAATGGCTGGGTACTTACGCGGATCTCCTACTCTTGTAGAGGCGGTAGGAACTTGGCACGGAGGGCTGGTATATGTGCATTTTGTTTACTAGTACATGGTATTTTATTCATAATATTACGTACATATACATGTACGTATACATGTACGTATATGTGCATGCTAGTACTAGTTCTGTATATTGTGGACTTCCTATTCTTTTAAAATAGTTTTAGGGGCTGGAGGAACTTGGCACGGAGGGTGCATATGCATGTATACTGTTGAAATCAAAACTGTATAACCTCCCAATAGTGTGCAGCTCTGCAAATGGTGTCTCTAGCGGCAAAATGTCACATCATGTGTCCCAGGTACGTTTTGTACTGCGTACACACGAAGGATAGCGTGCGCGCAATGCCATGATCATTATAGCAATTAAAACAGCTTTAGGGGCCATCCGTAATAATTATTATCGATCTTTTTCACGAAACGAAAAAGTTTCGTTTATGGGTGGGTGGGTGGGTAGCGACCGGTTTCGTTTTGAAAAAACATCGAAAGCGGAAAAATCAACGCTCACTGCATGCATTGATGCATGCATACATTTAGAAAAGCGATCCTGTCAGCTTTTCTATTATTGTGTTCACATGGCTTTCTGCCCTATCAAAAATTTGATAATAATAATAATAATAAATAATGGCAGAAAAAACGACATCGCTATGCTACGTAAGTTTCTACGTAAGGTGCTCGGTATTTCACTTAGGCTACGTAAGTCTCTACATAACGTGCTCGATATTAGATCTACCAACGAGTGGTAGCTAGCTGTGTGCTGTGCACGTGCACGGCAGACATTGTGTTCATGAACACAATGTCTGCAGTGCACATGCATGCAGTCCGCGGATCCGTGTTCGGATGTGCATGCGCGAGGAACTTCCTTCTTTGGAACTGCTTCTTGCATGCATGAGCTGTTTCGGATATTTCGTCTCATGGCCTGGCTTATTTCGTTTCGGCGCTGCTGAGACCTCCTTTCGCGGAATATTACTCAATGACAGGTGAGTTGACCAGTTGCCTTTGATTCATTTGCTTGTGTTGACTCTTTCATTCAGGAAAAGTGTGCTGATTTTGGGGCGGAATGCAATAAATAATGGAAAAGTTGACAGGATCTCTTTTCTAAATTTTGCTTTTCTGCTGCGGAGCTGCGAGGCCTCCTTTTACGGAATACTCGATGACAGGTGATCTCTAGGGGCGCGTTTGGTTGGTACGAACTAGAACAGGATTCACCAGAACAGCGCGTTTGGTTGGGACTGCACCTGTTCTGGGTCGGCCAGAACATGTTCTGCTTGCTCCGGCCTCGAGGCCGGAGCAGACCGAGCAGTTTCACTTTTTCACAGTGAAACCTGGCGGGAACATCGATTTTGGTCCCAGATGATCACGTGCATACGCTTTTGGGTTGGATTCGTCGTACCGTACAAAGTGACCATGGTGACCCATACACATTTTGAAGAATGCACCATTTTGGCACATTTTCTCACAAAAATGTGCTCTGTTTCTGGAGTACCGTTTGGTTGGCATGAGGCTGCTCCATGTGCACCAGCTGTTCGATCCTGTTCTAGATCGTACCAACCAAACGCACCCTAAGTTGACCGGTTTCCTTCAATTCATTTGCTTATGTTCACCTTTCATTTACGGAAACGTGTGCTGATTTTATTCGGATTTAGATCCATTTTTATCTCTTTGCCCTTGTCTACAGTGTGCGAAGAACGCGAGTTCAACTTCTTGACGGTAAGGCTTATGTTAGATGTGTTGTCGAAATACTCATATTCATTGTACATTGGTACGTTACAAGTAAGGCACTGGTCCGTCGCATACTATCGTTGGCAGTTCCCAATCTGGAGGGAAAGGTTCAAGTACCAATTGACTGAGTTTGAAAAATAAATTCGCATATCAGGGGAAATCTCTATCGTGGAGAGGTTCAGTAACTTGTTTGTTTCATACGAAACAAGCCAATGGGTGCAGTCCCGTCTCGTGAAAATCTCGTTTGCGCGGGCCAAGTGCACGTACGCCATGACCCGATCTCACGAAATTTCCTACGACAGTTCATTTCGCGTTCCCTGCAAGTTTCGCGTCCAAGGCTGTGTTTACATGAGAAATTTCAACCCGGGTCGAGTTCAGCCCGGGTTGAAATTCTGTACGATAGACAAAAGAGGTGAGCGTTTACATGAAGACAGTTGACCCGGGTCAAATACTGATATGCCGCCAAAAGTCCACTTCTAGAGTCCTGTATGGTCACGTGAATCCGTTCGCGCGAAATTTGCATCTGCAGTGCTGTTCAAACCTGGCGCGAGATACGCACAGAAGTACGTTTGTACGATTTTCTTGACCCGGGTTGATTTCAACCCTCCCCTTGGGGGGAGGGTTGAAATCAACCCGGGGCGAAATTTCAACCCCGGTCAAGCGCAGTGCGTCATGTAAACGCGCCATTCACTTTGTGCACATGGGGGGTTGAAATCTGACCCGGGTCGAACTCAACCCGGGTTGAAACGCTTCATGTAAACACAGCCTAAGGGTGCCAAGTTTCGCACTTCATGATGTAGAGCGAAAGTTTGTACGCATTTTCGTTTTGCAGAATCTCTCTAGTGACTCAATTGTTTCATACGAGACGAGTCAATGAGTCGGTGTGGCTTAGAATCTTTCGCTGTAGAAGAAATCTATTCGTATGTCTATTGGAGAAATAATTGTATTCACTGGTTATAAAATAGGTTAAGACAAACTCACAGAATAAATACCATCGGTCCCTTGGTGGTCGTCCTAAAGAGGTTCGACTGGATATCATTCATACTCACCAAAAGATATGTAAGATTTTATCATTGTGGAGTGCCTTGTTTATCTCTCAGTACCTCCAACCATAGCCTTGCCCCTTTTCTCCTCAGGATCAGTGTAGTTGTTGGAACGAGGTTTTGGACTCAGCAATGTATTCGTTTACATTTTAATACATGTTTATTGTTCCTCCTTTGCTGTGTTGTTTTAGACAATCGTGGACTAACAGTTTGAAGTCATTGAACTACTTCCAAAAGTTGTATCGACATCAACAGGATTACGATTTCAGTTTCAATATGATTCTGGATGACCTTATCACGATAACCCATGACTATAAACCATTATAAACACAGAATCAACAAAAACATCTGCGACACGCACCTGGCGCATGGCTACATTTCTCAAATAAATCTGATTATTATTATTATTCAACGCAATAAATAGAGTAAGCTGCGCACTCAGTACAAACACCATAAGCAAAACTTGTTTTCATGTATATAAAGTTTTGCTTATGGTGTTTGTACTGAGTGCGCAGCTTACTCTATTTATTGCGTTGATTACATTTTTATCTCCACGGAAGCTTTTTAATTATTATTATTATTATTATTTGAACAAACGGCGAGGAGACAACAATTTGATAACCGCAATCAGTAATACAAGCTGGATCGACATTTGTGTACACTGTATTCATGTATTGTAAAACTGTGGAGACAATGTGCAATAAGACGATGAAAAATGTGAAGAAATTGTGTAAAGAAAGAAAAGGGATTCAAACAAGTTTTCGTACAACACTCATCAGGAATCATCGTTCACACTTGTAAATTACACTGTTGTTGCTCTTAGTGTTATTTCTCTAACTTAGATTTTCTATAATAGTTCAATTTTTGTTTCAGTGTCCTTTAGTACAACGATGATTCCTGATGAGTGTTGTACGAAAACTTGTTTGAATCCCTTTTCTTTCTTTACACAATTTCTTCACATTTTTCATCGTCTTATTGCACATTGTCTCCACAGTTTTACAATACATGAATACAGTGTACACAAATGTCGATCCAGCCTGTATTACTGATTGCGGTTATCAAATTATTATTATTAACTTTTATTTTACTAGGGTGTTTCCCACAGACCTATGGTCTTCTTACGGGAGCCCCTAGGAAGGTTATGCATGAGCGAATAAATGAGCGGTAATCGGTACAAGTACGAACAGTGGAAGGCAGCATATTCCACCGGTCAGCAGCGAGATAGCCAATCCGAGAAAAGCCAGCCGTACTCTGTGCTGGGGGTAATGCCAAAGAAAAAGACACCTGGGATCTCGTAGTGGCAGTGGTGTGAGAGCTACAGCAGCGGCTGGTAAAGATTTCTTGAAGCAAAGAGCTGCATGTGTAGCGTGGCCCAAGTGGTTGGGCACACAACAACCAACAAGTCTCACCAGAGCAAGGAGAAGTGGTTGAAGAAATGAAGCATGATCTTTCTTCAGAGACAGAGCTTTTTATATGTGCCAAGACTAAGAGAGTTCAGGTTTCACATAACAACGAGCAACGGTTTAGACCAATCAGGAGATAGAGAGATGGCACAGATTCGGCCAATCAGAAGACATGTATTGGAAGAAAGTAAAGAAAAAAAGGAAAGCTTCTGAAAAAGGTAGGTTCGAACTTCACATGCAAAGGATACTAGTCTTATTACTGTACAGGTTTTAACACACCAAGCTACAGTGACACAGGCACTAGACTACAATGCAACAGGTACAAGGTTGAAGAATCTGCATGCTCTACATGGCCCCCTTCCAGATTGAATCACGTCCTCGTGATAATGTGAATATTGTAAAAATAAAAATGAAACGAAAGAACCCAAGGAAGAAGCTATATAAACTGTGTGTTAAATGCCAACCCAACACTATAATTATCTAAAAAAACTCAAATCTCAATCTCTCAAATCTTCACAAGAAAATTGTACATATCAATTGTTCTTGGCTCTCATT